CGACTAACGGTCCAAGTGCCCCTAGCATGGAAGAAGTTACATTAATGCGGCTAAAGACTGCGCAGCGGGAGAAGGAGCGCAGAGCTCTTGAAGAGCAGCTTCGGAAAGAAGACGAAGCTGCAGATGCCGCCGCGGCCGCGGCCGCTGGATCCAATGCTTAGTTTTACCATTTTTTTTCCTACTCTGATTCCTTGTTTATCATTTCTACAACCGCATATGTTGGACATCAGTTTTACAGGCTCTTCCTCTAGCCTGCCGCTGAAATCTAACCGGACAAATAGCTGGCGTTGTGGGGATTATGTATACATAGACTTTTTAGTACAAGAGATACCCTTCAACTATATGGAACACATTTTGCTTGGACTGCTGTGCTATGATACATGGTCGTTACTATACATGTGCGATATCATACAAAAAATCTATTACTCTTTCTGTCGGAGTGACTCTTCTTCCTCTAACTGCTCCAGGAACTCCCGTGCTCGATGGCCTTCTTCGGCTTCACGACTACGGGTGTTCTTTTTCACCCCGCCATTAAGGATGAAGTCTCTCGTCCAAGAAGGCACGAAGGCTTTAACCTTGACCTCTCCAGGCTCCTGCTGCTCTGATGAACCTTCTTCCGCCGCATCCCATGACACCTTAAACTCTTGCTCAGGGCTATACTGGGTGCGCTCGCCAGTAAGAGTAACATCGGTCATCATCTCTAACCGGCACAATGCAAGACCGATATTACCTACTCCACCGAGGAACTTGCCCGTACTACGCCCCCTTCGTGCACTGATCTTGTACATATTCGCCGCACTGGGAGGTTGAGGCAACTCCGCAGTAGGACCATACACGGGCGCCACAGCGGACTCAAGAGCACTCTGATCTCCTGTATATAACTGCACGGGCAAAATCCGCTTTCGTACAACACCCGTGTGATGGGTGCGAATGGTAAGCTCCTGACCCACATAGCAGCCCTTGCGGAAGTCAACTCCCTTCATCATATCCATATTGCATTCCAACGGGAGCGCCGATTCACGAATAATTTCAGACTGGCCTTCGGCAATACCGTGCAGCATGCGGCGCACGGTATAAGTTTCAAGACTCACCTCCGAACCCGCAATCTGAGTTTCATCAGGAACATGAGTCCGGAGATCTTCCGCGCCCGGAGTGATGAGGCGGGAGCCGAACCCGGGGGCCCTTGTATCAACACAACCAGCGATCGAGGACGATGGCGAGAAAGGAGAGGAGGATGGGGATTCCATATTATATGCGGCCCAGCGGGGTTGTTCATGGTCCTTCCATGACGCCCACACCGTGCGTTCGCCGTCTTCGAGAGCACGTAGCTTTAACTTCGCGCGAAGCTTGTGTTTCTTTAAATGTTTCATGAGACTCGCTACTTCGTTTTTATCTACTTCGATGAGCCATGCGGGTTCGTCGGGCGACGCAAGGTCTGCTTGTGGAAGCGGGTACAGAAAAGCATCGTTGAGCACTCGACCTTGAGAGTTGAGGAAGGCAGTATAGGATCCAGTTCGACGGGTTGCGCGGTTTGGGTCGTTCGTTATTAACATGTTCTGGGTAACAAGCCCCTGAAGGAAGGTGGTACTATCGACCCCCGTGATGGAAATCAGGCCTCGGCTCGTGAGGCGGGCATAACCGGCCTGCGGCGGGGGAGCTGGAGTGGCATCGCTATTCAGCTGCGAGCGTGAGTAGACGGTGGTCGAGAAGAGCCGGTTGCCATTCGGGCAATGAGCGCATATGGTGCGGACAGATGTGCTAGGGCGCATCATAGTCATCGAATGGCGCTGTTAAAGAATGGATGCAACTCCGGAGAGAAAGTTTACAAATCAACCAAAGCTCCATGGACGATGATATCAGCGGGCGGTGGCACGCGGCAGAATATGTACCATGCTCCACTTAATTATTACTGACCGCTCATTTACATACAGAGAAATTGAAAAGTCCAAGAAACAATAATGAATATAGCCTATTAAATTATACCATCCAAAGCGCCACGAAGCTTGCCCAAATAAAGAGCTGAACTTAGTACAATAAGGATATCCCAGGTACAAGCACGACTACTTGTTCCCCTTGGCAACCCCTTGCAAAAATCCAAGCAAGAAAGCCTTGTTATCCGGTGAAGACACTCTCGCATTCAAACTTCCATTATCTTCTGGAGCGGGGGACCCTCTACTCATCCCAGTTGGAGTGGGAAGATTAAGAGGCGAGAGCGGACTGACAAGGGATGATGTTACTGGCTTTGATCCAGAAGTGTGGACATTGAGCTCTCTTGCGGGCGAAATGCCCGGTGATACCGGCTGTTTGCCAAAAAGGGAGAGAAGAGTCTCTTTTTGAGCAGCGGATTGACTTGGTCGGCGATCAAAACTGCTTGCCTCTTGCTCAGTGCTTAAAACCTGAGGACCATCTTGCTGCTCTGAATCATGCGATTCCTTGGTCCGCACAGGAAGTATATGGTCCAAATTTTGAGAACGGCGGAGGATTTGTGGCTGGAAAGGCTTCGGGGGTTCAGAGCTCTTCGGCTTGCTATCCTTGCGGGTACGGGACGAAGTCCTCGAGGATGATGCCACCGCTGGGTTAGGTGATTGCTCTCTTTTAGCGGATTGGGGTCTAGCCAAGATTGTAATGGGTGAAGAGAGACCCTGTGGCTGTCGATCCTTGTTCTTTCGATTCGAGTTATTCTGATTTTTTTTGCCAGGTGGCTTAGCAGTGGCCTCGGACTGAGGTGGGTGCACAGGCCTGGGTGCCACATTTGAATTCAAGGGATTGCCCTTTGGTGCCGCACTCGCGTAAGTAAGTGCCTGTTGGGTAGCGCTAGAGTCACGTGGCCGTTGTAGAATCTGCCTACTAGTCGGAGAGTTTGCATGGCCTGCTAATTCGGCTGGCGTCGAACCAGAGGTAACCGGTGACCCTCTCAAGAGGCTTAACAATTGATCCTGATGCTGTGATGACTTGCGCCCATTCATGGGCACCTGGTCAGGCTGTGGCGTCAAAGATGCATGAGAAGTCTTAGGCGTCTTCGAGGACTCATCCTTGAAAACACTCAATAGCGCCAATGAGTGACTTGTGAGTTTCGGAGGCGGTAGCTTACTGGCATGCGGCACACTTGCTCCTTGGATCTTGGGTGGCTGAGCTGGTTGGGAAAACGGATCCCCAGTCTGCTGGTAAGGGGCCGTAGGCGCTTGGGTTGCCGGTGCGGCATGCAGGCCGGACGGCAAATGTGCGTCATTGTAGGGCTGTGTAGAGATGTGATAAGCATCCATTCCACCATACCCAGTTGGACGGCCATGCTGATTCATCACGGGTGATGGTTGGGCTAATGGCCGCTGAGACATATGTTGATCAAGGACATGGTTATTTGTATGTGGTATATGAGATGATGCACTAGTTGGTTGCCGTGGCGAAAACTTTGAGAGATAACCAGGTTGTGAACTTTGACCCTGCACAGGAAAGCCTGGGAACAAGGTCGGAGCCGGATAAGGTAGATGTTGAGGAGGCACTGCTGCAGTACTAGCATGTGATGGCGACGTTTGCTCATTCCTCAGGACCTGTGGGGTGGGTTCGCGAGAGGGGCCACTTCTCAGAAGCTCCAAAAGAGCATTGGATTTAGACGCATTAGCTGGTAATGTATCGACAGAGGGAGCCGGGCTTTGCATATGAACAGCGTCATTGATGTTCAAGAGGCGCTTGAGGTGGGTGGAGGCATCCTGAGATGGCGCAACCTCGGGCAGGTCGCTAGAAGTAGCCAATCCTAGAGACTGACTGGGCGCCGTGAGACCTTCTTCCATCGACATCTCGCCATCATTCTGTAACACTTGAGTCGCACCCACTTGCACCTTCGCGTCGAGCTTCTTCTGCTGTGCGATCCATTTCTTGAGAGGATGCATGAACGGTGCGACCATATAAAACTTATTCGCGTTTGCAACCGCGAAGCCCTGGTCTTGCTGTTTATTCTTCTTCAATGTTGGCAGCTCCGACAAGTTGTACCATTCAATCTTGCTGATTTCTTTTCTAGTGCGCGGTTCAAAGTGAGCATCGCGAGGTACCCCACGAAAGACATATAATCTCATGTGCTGTTCTCGCATAGTGATTTCAATGAACTTGACGTCTTTCTCGTTCTTTACGAGCCCAGCTTCATGAACATCGAAGCCTGTTTCTTCATAGACTTCGCGAATAGCGCAGTCTAAATCCTTTTCGTCTTTGTTGATTTTCCCTCGTGGAAAACTCCAATTGGCACCCTTCTTCCAGCCTTTGACCAAAACTACTTCGTCCATGTCTTGGTTGAGCATTATGGCCCCGCGCACCGGAACACGGGTCTTGTATGCCAGAAACTCTGAAAAAGCTGTGATGTGATGATAATGTGACCATTGTGACATAAGCGGACAGTGTTGGAAGATACGCAAGGCGAAAGCTTTTAAGGACAGTGACGGAAGGGCCGGGTCCAACGGCCGGATAAAATCCTCGTAAAACCACTGTGCTTCCTCAACCTGGAAACATATACGTTCGACCGATTCGAGCTCTTCTCGGGGCAAGTTTATAATGAAGCGGACACACAGGTCATCCAGCCCTATTGGAGATCAGCCGTCTCGGTATCGCTGTGGCCAATGAAGACCCATCCCAAGTGAGGAATGAAAGGGAGGAAGACTTACAATCTTCTAAATGCATCTTTGTTTCTGTCATATTGTGCAACGTACCCTAGCATTTCAACTCAGCCTAGGTGGAAAGGGGGGTAAAGGTCCGAAGTCTGGGACGCGGAGTGAGAAGACGGGTTGGAGGGGACAGCACAGCGATGATGCAGCTTCAAGGGTGCTTGGCAAAGCGCCAACCCTGAAGCATACAGTGGCTGCAGAGGAGATAAGGCGCTGACGGGAACAAACCAATGGTTTGTGAATCGGCGAATCAAATAACTAATAGACTGAGAATTAAGGAAGGTGGTTGAGACAGACAAGTATTGAGTTGTCCCCAACGTACCGAAGACAGACAACCAGGAAACAAGAACAAAGCTGCTGAATCGCAGCCCGCTGAAATCTGTGGCGGTGCTGCCCAATGGAAGCCCAGTGCGGCATGCCTGTGTGCCACAGGTGTGGCGATGTGGCTAGTGGATGATCATCGGTGGCATTATGTAATTATGTAATGGAGTCGGGTGGAACTTGGAAACTGCGGGATGACGTCCTCACACGGGCCACGCCCATGGGCACAGGAATGATAAAAAGCCCACTGCATGAACAACAACTGTCTTGGCTAGAGCTTAATTGTTCGCTTCGAGCCTCCCCTTGGAAAAAATATTCCTACCCTTAGGTCTTTATCCGATATCGTCTCTTAAGAAGAACCCATATCTATACATTTCTCCTTGTTATCACTATTGACACTGGCCGGCCGCTTAAAACACGGTCTTAACGAAATACACCCGGTCATTCAACCCAAGGCCCCGCAACCATACGGAGTACTACTAAGACAGTAACGAAGACCTAATCATTTCATCCACAATTCAGTTGCAAAATCATGTCAGGCCCGCTCGTGTCTTTAGTCGGGAAAAAAATACTAGCAGAATCGGCGCGAAACCATTTTGGAACAGAGGTGAGCGGTCCGCTGCGCCCCTCTCAAGACAGAGATTGGCTAAACAAGTACATTTAACCTAGGATCCTTATTTCGAGGAAGTTCCAGCCTCACGTCTGCACCGCGCATTCGGCAAAAAGACTCAAAAGCGGCGCAAGGCAGTACCACCAGGTCTGTCTGAAAATGATCAGAAAGTCCTTACCCAAGTGAAACGCAGGGCATATAGACTAGACTTGTGTCTGTTCAGCCTGTGTGGCATCCGATTTGGCTGGGGCAGTGTGATTGGCTTGGTCCCATTGTAAGTGCTGGCCAACTTGTGTAGTCTAGCAATACTAATTGTGGTCTTGGTTAGTGCCGGTGATGCTGTTGATGCTGCACTTGCGATGATGGTGGTAAATACGTGCGACAAGATCGATGGGGGGCTCCCGACACGTCTCAGAATGATGATGCTGATCAATGTCATCATTGATTTTGCCATTGGTCTCGTGCCCTTCGTGGGGGATCTTGCAGACGCGATGTACAAGTGTAACACAAGAAATGCTGTTATGCTGGAGAAACACTTGAGGGAAAAGGGGGCCAAGGCGCTTTCGGAACAACGAAGACGTCATGAGAATGATACAGATCCAAGTCTGCCCGACGAATTCGACAAATATGACCAAACGATGGTGGATGGTCCTCTAAGGAGCGAAAGCCATAGACATCACAGCAGGCATCACAGGAGGCATCGCAGCAGGCATCGCAGCAACACCCGCCGAGCAACGAACGAGCCAGCACATCATTCCCACAACGACCGAAACCATACCAAATGGTTCGGTGGATCCTCGCATCGGGAGCATGACCTCGAAACTGGGGTCGTCGACAACTCTCAGAACCGTAGATGACAATGAATATTATGAAGACACGGGGGCTGATTTCTGCGAATTTCTCTTTTATAGGCGTTGGTGCTCACATAATACCTTGAATGATTGATGACGCTTCCTCTCAGTTTAGTTTCGTCAATAATGGATCGAAAATTTTCAAACTCTCATTACGAGCTTGTACTTGGGCGTGACCGAGCGCATGCGTAGCAGAACTGAGTGTCTCCACCCCCTACTTCGTTCATCAAAGGAGCACCGCAAAAAGTGCAATGGGATAGATTCACTGGCATTTGCGAGACGTCGAGTTTGTTGGCCGTCCTCGTCACGTTCAGCATGACACCGGGGTATTTCTCGCCCTGCGTCAGAACGTACCGCATCATGAGCTCATCGATAGACAAATTCTTGGTTAAAGTATTTTCTGGGAGTGGCTCATCTGGTACAATAAGTTTGGTGAGTTCCGGGAAAAAACTGGCATAATCTCTCAATTCCGCCGTAAACAAGTCCCGCAGGGGGAAGTTGAATTCTAGGCCAAAGGGGGACATTCCGTCGGCGACTTGCCAGATTACTGAAGAGCCGCGACCCTTCGCAACATTGGCAAGTGTTTTCGCGGCGAGTCTACTATCCGAGTCTCCCCAAATTATTGCCTGGCAATCCATCTGCTTTGCAAAGGCCACGATCAGTCGGTTCATCAAGATATAATCGACATCAGCCTTAGAGGTGGACGTTGCGATACACGACCGGAAGGCATTGAGGCGGTCTGCATCCGACAATGAAGAATCATCCTCAAATTCTTTGCCAGCAAACTGGGACATAGTTTCCTTGATATCAGGGACTAGGGCGAAGATACTGTGAAACGGAACCTTGGTAAAGGAACACAAAGGGAAGGATTTCCGAGCCAATTCGAAACCCTCATCATGCGCAGGATTCGACGGCAAGATAGTCGAAGGCTCTATTATAAGCACATGCAAGTCAAAGCCTGGGGAACCGTGTACTTTTGAGCGCTGGATTTCAAGTTGAGCATGCAACATATGCAACAGGACCGACGAGGAGAGACCGTAAGAAAGAGGAAAGAGCAGCTTGCACGGTTTATCTTTTGCGAAACCTCTATTCAGGCGATAATTTTCCATACGTTTGAAGACTTTGTACGACACAAATTTTATATAACAGTCCCTGCACAGAGAAAGAGTCGGTTAGTATTTGCAGTAACCCCACTTGTAGAGTAGATAAAATTCGTACTTGCATAAACGCCGCCGCCGCAATGTTAAAATAGCTTCTGCATCGCGGCAGTCTACGCAAGGATCCGACAGTTCTTTGCCAGGCATTTTTGTGTTTACCACCGTGTTAGGGTTGCTCTTGTGGTTCTTTTGGTTTGTATCTGTTATCAGACAGAGGCAAAATTCCGGCAAGAGGCAGAAAATCCCGTTGGCGGTGACATTTTTAGGCCTTGCTCCATTTATACTCGGAGCACGGGCTTAGATAATACCATGGTATCGGCGGGACATCAACACGCGGCTTCTCCATCTCAAGTGCAAGGTAGCCACGAATCCCTACCGCCTTACCCAACCAGCTTGGAGCTGCGAACAAAAGTGTCGGCTGTTTCTTCGGAACCCATCATACTCCCTTCACTCTTCCATTCTCCCTATATTATCCTCCTTTTACTTTTCTCATGATACTGGGGTTGTAAGGCAACCATTTGCTTTCGGCATCTCCGGAGCGCGCTTAGTACTACGATCTGGTTAGCTCCTTTTCAGCGATCAAGATGAAAGGCTGGCTCCAGACCTTTTGTTTAACTGCCCTGCTGGCGGGTCGTGCACTCGCAAATGAAGTGGAATTGGTGCGCTTAACATCAGAAGCCAAATCTCAAGCCTCAAGTTCTAACTGCTAGCGATCTCGTATAGACACAGGATGAAGCTCACAGGCAGCGATGTTCGGGGATGTACAGTCGCAAAGCCTGGGGTGGAGACGTTGAGCCCTTTATATTGACTAAATTTGTTCGTGATGGCGATGCTGGCGATAGCGACCCTCTCGTCAGTTTGGTGGTCTTTGAATGGTCCGACGAAGCTTTAATTGGAAGAGCTGTATCCGATGATGCCGATGTATACTTTTTTGACCACGTCTGGAGGTATATACCAGCTAATGAACATCATAGGAGAAGGAAACTATCTGCGACGAAAAGAGTGTCAATGACAAGCTCTGCGAAGCAGGCGATATCGGCTCCTTCATCCTTGCCCCGAACGCAAGTGAATCCCAATTCACGATTGTAACTCAGGCGATCCACTTGAACAATCCTACTGCAATCAATTACCCCGTCAAGAAAACAGGATTCTACTGTGTGAGCACTTATGGATACTCGGGACGGGACTACAAAGCCGTCGTCGAGTTCAGAAACGCGTATGGTGAACTTCCGGCTGCGCAGATCGCCAAGCTCCCATTTTACGGTGGCTTGACAATAGTTTACGCTCTTATTGGGGTGTATGTCCATGAAAATGTCTTGCATTTTTTTTTGAAGTCTATACTCACTGTACATAGGTTCTGGGCTTTCTTATATGTACAAAATCGCCACGACATCTGTAAGTGACTTCATCCATCTACCCATGACAATTACTGACTCAGGACAGTGCCTGTGCAGAATTATATCACCGCTATATTGGTCTTTCTGATTGTGGAACAATTGATGACCTGGGGCTTCTATGGTATGTCGAAGCTGATATACAGTCGAGATGCTTGCTCTCTAACATTATGCAGACTATCAGAACCGACACGGCCTGAACGTTGGTGCAAAGGTACTTATGGTCATTGTAGCCGTTCTTAATGCGGGGCGGAATGCTTTCTCGTTCTTCTTGCTTCTTATTGTGTGTATGGGATATGGTGTTGTCAAGCCTTCCCTCGGTCGGGCCATGGTCTATGTTCGCATCCTCGCTATCGCCCACTTTATTTTCGCCGTTATCTACGCTGTTGCAAGTCTGTCAATAACGCCAGACAGTGCTGGTCCGCTGGTTCTTCTTATCGTGTTGCCACTTGCGGGCACCTTAACTGCGGTTTATGTGTGGACTCTGAATTCGTTGAACGCAACCATGAAAGATCTTATCGACAGGAAGCAGAAGGTCAAAGCACTGATGTACAAGAAGCTGTGGTGGTGCATCTTGGGCAGCATCATCGTGATATTCGGCTTCTTTTTCATCAACTCGATTGCCTTTGCTGGTCGCAGCGAAGCAAGCTTTGTACCAGAACATTGGAAGAGCCGTTGGTTCGTGTTGGATGGCTGGCTCAATCTGGTCTACCTGTTTGACATCGGATTTGTCGCCTACTTGTGGCGCCCCACTGCCAACAACAGGCGGTTTGCAATGAGTGATGAGGTACGGCATTAATCCAACATAAGGAGAGGAATGTACGAATGATTGGTACTGATACGATGTACAGATTGCTCAAGATGATGACGGATTTGAGATCCGGTCATTTAACAGTGAATTGGACGAGGAAGACGCACTTGGCGGTATTCCAGAAAGTTCTGCCCATGAGCAGCGCCGTGATCTGTCGCCTGTGCCCCCTAAGCCCGTCCCGGCTGCGCCGCGCCAACGGGAATCCCTTGATGGAGAAACCATTTTTGCCGTCGGTGAGGATGGAGACAAATGGTCGGACGATGAGGATGATTTGTCCCGCGACTCGGGTGAGAGGAAGCGACTTACCGGCAAAGATGCTTAGTAGTGCATAGCTTCACAAAAGCTAGTTTTTATCCCCTTCGAATTGAGCAACGATTATTTGTGACTGCAGGGCGTGCGTCACTATGTACTGATATCATTGAGGATGAGATACCTTTATTGTCCACTATTTAAACGAATCGACGCATTGGGTTTTATTAATCCTTCACGGGCATATAATGGCGTCTGGCTCGTTGGTTCGAGTTCATTTCAGTTCCGTCTTTTCCCCGGCCAACAAGAAAGAGGGGAGAGAAGGGAAAAAAAAAAAAAAAAAGAAAACCTCTAGGTCTTACGCCGCATCTAAAAGTGATGACCTCCTGAAAAGTCTATGGGACTTATGTACATACGAACCTGGTCGTTATAATGAGATCATTTACTATTTCGTGCCTGCCAAATAGCACATGATTATATGATTTGCAGCCCTGCCTGTTAGAAGATGCGTGTAGCATGATCCCGGTCTTCTGAAACACTGTGTAGTTATCCATTTATAAAAATCAAGCTTTGATTCGTTCACGATACCACGTCAGGATGGAAGAACGCATTGAGTTTGACGTAACTTTCCCGATGTTGAACTTGACTTCCCTCACCACACCCGTATTTTCCCCAGGAGTTCCATTATCGCCAAATGTACGGGATTCTACTGTTCAATATAAGCCGGATCTTCCTTAGCTCGTAGACAGTAAGTAATTCAAATGTCTGAAAAACATGGGAGGTAACGGATATAGATTTCCAAGCGTGACCAGGTCAGATATCGCCTCGGAGATTCGTTGAATTTGCCCTCGCCTCATAGGCATTGGTAGTTTTGGTCGTTTCACCCAGTCCATTCATCGGGGCAATATGTTCCTGGCTCTCACTTGTTTCATATACCCTTACGATTTCGGTCTTCTTTGTAATTCCACCTTTCAGGCGGCTGTGCCGGGACCTGGGAGGTTCGAGGTTCGCGGACTGGCTTGATTCCCCTTGAGAGGCGTCGGCAGAACTAAATGGAGCATGAACCTTGAAGAGTTTCCGTAGGGAGGACAGAGATCCCGACATGAGGCCAAAGTTGAATTCGACTTCCATCCAGATAAGGGACGTCGAGGCCGAGTCTGGTGGATCAGCATGGTCCATTTAAAGGGAGTATAGCGAAGCACTCACAGGTGAAGTTCGTCGTGTCATTGGTAAATTTAAGAGTTGAGAATCGCACAAGAGCGGCGACGCATGCGGTAAACCCTGGCCCTTCATCAGTCCCCGGTTGACTACATCATCTCAGCCAATTACTAACCAATACATAGCAGCCCTATGACAAGCAACCGCTTCTTTAATGGCATTTGCAATTGCCAAATTGGCCGCATTGGTAGCACAAGTATTATCACATCAAGCACGAACATGATGACTCCCTGCATCATCAAAATGGCATATGAGGTTTCAGTCGGGTAGCAGCTGGCATCGGGAATGGTCTTATCGTAGGCCGCCTGGACGGGTCGACATTGAAACACCAGCGCCAATGTGCCAGATATCGTGAAGACAGCGATAAATAGAAAAAGGGATTTTCCGGCAACGTGGATGAATCGAGTTGGGAAGAGGCGCATGATGAACACCAGTAAACTGGTTTTTACGGCTGCTGCAATCACCAGGTAGGCGCATTGCGAGCCATATTCGAGCTGCGATGGTTAGACCAGATTGATGAGTCTGAATTGTCGGTTATACTGACTGTGAGAAAGACAGCCAAGTCGTCTACAGACACGTTCTGCAATTCCTGTCCAAGCCCATAGTACGTGATAGTATACGCAAGGGCAGAGAACAAATCCACACCGATCTAAATTATCAGCAGTCTCACACAGGCCGTTCATTTCCAGACTAAACTCACAAGAGCACACAGCACCAGCGAGTCATCGAGTCCGAATTGTTTTATAACGAACTTACGCAAGTATAGCTAATATATGTCAGCCCGCTGCTCTCGCGACAGCAGTCGAAAACATACTCGAAGCACACACACTATTGTCGTTGCAATTGCCAGAATCAACACGATGATCCGTACGGCAATTGTCATATGCGATAAACCTTCAACATCCCGCCCTTCAGTTGACCTTCCCATTCTGACCATCTCTGATGGTTCATCTGGGCCTGGCTCCCGGAGGACGTGGGAGAAGAAGGGCATATGGGAAGGATCCCATAATACATAGCCTTTCAAATTTCGCCTCGGCAGCGCTGCATTCTCAAATTACACAATAGCGTAGTTGTGGAGTAGCAACACACGCTAGACTCGACGGCTGCCAGAAATTGACGGGGAATGCGATCCTGATGGCTGTAGTTCGTCGCGCCGGCCCGCATAGCGCCCTGTTCGCCTTGGGGCTGAGATCCACTTGGCCCGTGTCATAATCCTGTACAGTGTCTCCAGGCTTATCCTTGCTCCTTTCTATTTTTTCTCATTTCAATTTTGATTTGTCTTCCCAATGCTATTGAGTCTTGTCGATACGATAGATGCAATGATCGCTGAAATTCTAAAAAATTCGCCCAGCCTGGAGCGGGAGGTGATCTCGGAAACCGAGACTATCATATCGAGATTCTCCAGCCTTTCTGACATCGAACAAGATAGAGAACGGGCCACCTATGTGTCCACAGTCTTCCTCCTGCTATTTGGCAAGGATTCCGTAGTCCAAGGGTCAAATGGCTACGAATCACAGCGCCAAGCCCCATGGTATGTACTGTTATACTGTGTGCTTTGAGTCACCATGTGGGAATGATCACTAACGCTTATCAGGTCGACCAATTGCTGGCTCCAACCTTGTGTCATTGTCAGTCCTGGGTCAGCGCAGCAAGTTGCTACGGCTCTGGCATTGTGTCGCTTCTTCAACGTGAAGTTCTCCATCAGAAGCGGAGGTCATTTGCAAAACCCGGGATTTACTAGCAACTATGGGGGCGTGGTTATATCGCTAAGCTCTCTTAAGCAATTAGAGCTGTCTGCGGATAAATCTACGGTAGGTCTCGGGCCAGGCCTAAAGTGGTCGGATGTATATGGTGGTCTTGATGCGCACGAGGTGACTGTGACCGGTGGTCGGGTCACTACGGTAGGCGTGTCTGGTCTGTTACTCGGAGGGGGAATCTCCTTCCACAGCCATCAGTATGGAGTTAGTGCAATGGGCATCAGTAACTATGAGGTGATTCCCTTCCATTCGCGAAGTAGATATGCTCGAGTCACGGCTAACTATAGTAGGTCGTTCTGGCCAACTCGCAGATCGTCAATGCCAACGCGCACGAGAATGCAGACTTGTTCTGGGCTCTGAAGGGTGGTGGGCCTAACTTCGGTATGTCCTGCATCTATCTATCTCTAGGTATCCTCGGCTTTCTGACTGCGATCTAGGGGTCGTAACCAAGTTAGATATGATGACCATCCCAAGCAAGCACTGGTCTGAGGTCCGAGTCTACCCAATCACAGCAGCCGATCAGATCCTCGAAGCCATGATGCAGTATCACGCCGCAATCGAAGCTGACGATAAGTCTTCCCTGATCTATAATGCTACACACGACATTATCCTAGTCGTCTTTTTCTACAGTGAACCTGTCGAGCATCCCCCTATTTTCCAGTCCTTCTACGATATACCCCACGTCGCCAACTTCGTGGCCCCAGGTATCCGGACCGTCTATGATCTCATGAATGCAGTAGATTTTGTGCAAGATCCAGAACCTGCACTGTATGCCGACCACAGCCCATTCTCCCTCTTCCTGAATGCCGCTAACCCTTCCAGTCACGATTTCCGGACTATGACCAGCCTTCCTAGTCTAGACGTATACAGGGCTATTGAAAAAACACACGCTGAGCAGGTTGATATCCTTAAGGACGTCGAGGGCCTTACATTAACAACCGTTATCCAACCAATGTCCTCCTCGGCCATGAAAGCGACCCGCCAAAGTCCCCTAGGCCTGACACCTGTTGGACAACAGTGTACGTCCCTCCTCTAGCTTGAGGTACCATTCTCGGGTCTAATTGATACTTTTTAGGGTTCCTTGTGAGAGCTGACTGGAAGCATGCGAAAGACGAGGAGCGTGTTCGAGAGGCAGTGCGCAGGATCGTCGATGTAGCGGAATCAGAAGCGAAGCAGGCCGGGGTGCATCTTCCTTACCTTTATTCGAACTATGCTTCGCGCGACCAGGATCCCCTGGCAAGTTATGGGGTGGAGAATGCTAAGCGGTTAAAGGAGATTGCGCTGAAGTATGACCCAGACGGCGTATTCCAGAAGTTGCAAAATGGGGGGTGGCTGCTTTCCAACATGGGGTTAGAGGCGTGAGAGTTTACGAGTATCTGACGCAGTGCGTCCTACTAAAAATACCTTAATAGTAAAGATATTCATTAAGCAATGCATGACAAAACTCGACATCAGTTTTGATAATAAAGAAGCAACCGTTAGAAGGGGGGGTAAGAATAAAATAATAATAATAATAATAATTACATGGTGACAATGCATCAGTCCTTTGCGTTCCCTTGTTGCCAAAGACAAGCCCTCCCAACCGCCCAAGCCTGCAACGTGGCCCCCAAACCCACCACCCAGGCATTCTCCTTGATCCCCGTACGAAAATACCACGCGGAACTCGCCCACAGCAGCGCATTAGTGATGATTGCGATAGCCTTGTTGGTTGGATCTTGGAGGGCGTGAGGGTTACAGGACCATTGATAGTGGATGAGGCCTTAATCATTGATGTCAGTTATTCAAGTTCCGTATCGGGGATAGAGTGGTGAATTGGATGAGAGCCTCGATATATACATATAACTTACTAGTCATTAGAAAAAAGGCACTTCCCTGGAAAGGTATCGTCAGTATCTATCTATTACCAAGTCACTGGTATCCTCCTGTATAGTATGGAATTACCTGGTACCAACCAATAATCCCACAGGCCCATGGTTTCATGCCTGAAATATGCATGAATGTTGGCTCGGCGGTCCATTGTTTTCCTCCAATCTAAAAAGTTAACGTTAGTCAGTGATGGGCTTTTCCTGTCTCGTATAAATTGGAATGGATGTTTGTTATATGGTGTTGTTGGTCGCTGTGACGGTTATGGAGCAGGCAGGAAGCATACCGTATGTCCAAAGGAGAGGATGGCAAATGACAAGGCCGACACCTGAAGCGAGCGAGAAGATGGTATCATTATTGGACGTTATAAAGGTCAAACCTGATTTAGGTTGTCTGGGGGTGTGGTGGTGCTTTAGCTAGAGAATATAAATATAGAGAGAGAGAGAGAGAGAGAGAGAGAGAGAGAAAATGCTAAGGAGGCAGATGTTTAGAGAATTGAAACTAAACACTGCCAATTGAAAGAAACTCATAATACAAAGACCCGCCAGGGTGATCATCTATATAGTAACACATCCTTGGACAGTGATACCCTTCATATCTCCTCCATCAGACATCGGATCGTATAGTATACGAACCAGCCAATCAGCGAGCGTCACAGATGAGCCCTCGAAGACTGAGACGAAAACTTGGCACGGCTTTTCCTTTGGTGTCATACTACACTATGCAGAAACGACACTTATAGAATTCTATATGACGGGGGACTGATGCATATTTCTTCATATAAGGTGCCGAACTTGCGTCAGATTTGAGTTCCACCTAGATTACTCTGTACTACCAGGAGTATATGGGATGTATGCACGTGATGACCTGATCACTTTCCTATTTGAGTAAGGGAGCGGTGTAAATGAGTGGCCAGAACACTCCTTCAGCTGAGGAATAAGGGCTGGACTAGACTGAATCAGGATCGCTTATCTTTGGGCGATCCTGCAGATTTGTGGTTTTTAATTGTTGTTCACTGTAGGAGGGGCTCAGATCAGATCTGCTGGGGGTGGTTGGCAAGTACTAGACACACGACAAGATTATTTCAACTCTTACCACTTTTTTAAAAAAAAAAATACAACTTGAACCATATCACTCGAAACCCGCATCAATGAGAATCTGTGTATTCCAGTCCTGCTTCGAGGAGCTCCAAGCCTCTGTTGGCGAGGTCCAAGAATTATGCATGAATCCAGGCGTGTTTACGTCACAGCATACCGTAGTGCACAAGACGATTCACAAGTCGACGGCCACAGAGCAGATAGATGAAGCCGTGCGAGAAGGCTACGATTTTTACTTGAATTTTATGTGGGGGACATATGATGACTCCTTGGCTGGAGTGGATGCCATCCAATATTTTGAGTCTCTTAACCTACCATCTGCGGGTGTTCAAAGTTCGGAACGAAAACAATCAAAATGGGACTTTTTCACTGAAGCAAAGCGAGCAGGAAGTCCCCTTGTTCCTGGGACTGACAACTTCCCATTATTTGTTAAGCCTGCTTCAAGTTACGGGAGTATGTTTATTGATGAACATTCCTTGTGTCGAGATGAGGCGGAGCTGGAAAGTTGCATTCTAAGACTCAACAAGTTGATGCGCCCGGTACGGATTCAGCGAGCTCAGGCACTGGGTCATCCAGACCCAGGGAATTACGCCGATGCCCGAGAAAGCGAAGGGCGAGAGAGTACAGATATTGTTGTTCAGGAGTTTATTGCTGGGGAGGAGTATTCTGTCGTGGTTATTGCAATGGGAGAAAGCCCGGTTCCACTTATACCTCAGCGTGCCAAGTATAAGCAAGTGGGAGACGCGGCGCGAATCTTGACATTGGAGCTGAAGTTTGATGCCGAGTCTGGCTATGAGCTTCTTAAAGAAGAGGAGAATCCGGCCCTTTGGAAACATCTGCAAGAGACGGCAGTTGAAGCGTTTCGGTCCAAGAAGATGTATACCAACTTTATGGGATGCGATGTCGATATGAGAATGGGACACAATGGGAGAGCCTATGTGATTGAGGTTGATCCCCTGCCTGTATTCTTCTATCCTACGGGGTCCCAGCTTGAGGATACAGACGTCAAGCACGGATTCCCTGGTGGGTACAGGGCTGTTGTCAACACTTATATCACAAATTACTTTCTCAAACACCCCGGTGACCGAGAGTCACGCTTCATTGAATTGGCTTCCATATTTGACAAATTACCGACTCTTCCGAACTCAACGAATGAGGTTCCAGAGATTGACGTCCTGGGGCCGTGGAATGGCACAGTCCTGGATCTCGGTTGCGGAACGGGAAGTGTCGGGCGAGCTCTCCACGCCGACCCACGTAATCGAATCACACGTCTCACAGGAGTTGATATTTCGAAACGGTCACTGGATATACAAGAAAATAATACGTACAGTGTGTTGATTCACGACAGGATGGAGCGCTTCCTTGCCAAGCAAACATCAATGTTCGACCACATATTCTGTATATCAACCTTGCAATTCCTGCCCATGGAAGAGCTGGATTTCGTTCTCGCAAGATGCTTTCAGCTGGCCAGGTGCTCCATAACAATTGTCATCGATGATCTTCAAATGAGCAGGAAGTATAATCCTGAGACCTTGACCCATCTGAAAGCCTTCTCTATGGACCACTCTGAAAACATCAAGACATTTCAGATTCAACATGGCTGGCGGTTACAACCCTTAAATACATCCCATTGTTATGAAGGCCATCGGTTACAATTCCGTTTTCGCCGAGACGGCAGGATAGAATAGACAACCTGCCAATCAATACACTTTTCAAGTCGCTAAAACGGGTAATTAATCCATGACTTTGACGCCGTACTAAACCTTCGGGGTTGCTCGAGCTCTTTAGGTGAAACTTAGGAAACAGCCAAAAAGACCGAGTAGCTGGACCGAGCGGCTGGTGTGGGTTTGTGATAATCAGAATTCCATTCACCGGTCACCATATCCTCGATGGACATGATACTGATTCCGAACCGATCATGATGTGGAACTGTCGGGCTCAGAGCTGCAAGCAGCTGGAGGAACCTCTGGAACAGTAGGACGGCCTCCCTCTGAGGCCGATGAAGTGGTAATAGGTTGGGTGAGGACAGTGTTGGGCTCTGTCGGTACTTCATCCCCCTGAGCGGCAGTAGCTGCTGACACAAAAGGATGACTAGCCTTCGGTTCCGTGGGGGACAGGTTCTGCTTCTCGGATCGGCTAGGCTTCAGCTTGAGCTGCCCTATCTCCAGAGCACGGAGAACAGCACCGAGGTCCTGGGGATCGATGGATCGCAGCTTGCCTATAGCATCGCCTGAAACCTCGGGGACAGCCTTCCAGCCCAACTGGTCAAACTCCCCTGAGGTGGCGGACTTGGACTCAATCGATGGGCCGGTGGCCAGGCGCTGTAAATAACTGTCGGTGACGCTGGGTCAGCGACACGTCTTGACCGGGTTGGACTTGGTGCTACTACTTGTAGAAGCGACCCCATCTTGGTGGCGCTTAGGGGAAGCGGTGCCATAGCAGTATTAACGCCCTCCCCTACTTCATTGCGGATCATTATCATGGGCAAACATGTCCGTGGAATCCAAGCGACTCCAGCTTTGATAGCCTTCCAGTTGGTAGAACTCGGCGAGTTCGGCGAGACGATGAACTGTAACTGTTATATTAGATTGTGAGATTGCTTGTCCTTGCCTTTAATTTACTCACCTCAAATTCGCTTCTTGAAACACCAAAATCTCCACACGAGTACGCGGGAAATACTGGGTTAATTTGAGTAGCATGGACCATTCAATTATGACGGACTTGCACCCATAGTGGCTCACGAGTCTCAAGATCTCAGCTCGTTCAATTTTCTGAACGAAGAGCAAACCAAATTTGTGCAGGAGCAAAAAGCGTCTGCCAATGTCAATATGAATGTGCTGGCTAGCTCGGGAAAAAAGCGAAAGAAGCTGTCGCAAAAGGCGCGCGCAGATTGGGCACAGCCACAGGCTAACGCTGCTGCCTCGAAGGTCTGGGATATCTCAACCAAGAAATGGCGCTGTTCTCAACATACCCTGCTCGATAGCACCTCTCCTGTCTAGAACCCCAATACATAGTGACTCTATTACGTTGACCCAGCAATGAGTTTCGGGTTCAGTATCGGCGACTTTCTCGCAGTCATCGAATTAGCAAACAAAATCCGGAAGGAATTCGTTGATGCACCATCCCAATTCAAAGCTATTAATGACGAGTACAGCCACCTCATCGTGTTGGATTTATGTTTAATGGGGTCTCGGCGACTGACCAGAGTGCTACAGAGTCCGGAACCTGTCGTTCATAATACAAGATGTCGAAGTCGACTTGTCTGGCAAAGAACTCAGTGACAGGCAGAAATCTGAACTGCGAACCATCGCAGATAGCTGTCGCTGCCTCCTCGATGAGATTTACCAAAAAATCAACATCTACAGGGTACTGGAATCCGACCATTCCACTGGCCTGCGTAGAGTTGTAAGGGTGTGGAAACGACTAAAGTGGGAACCGGATGATATTCAGGACCTCCGGACCCGCATCAGCAGTAACATTAGTCTCCTCAATGCTTTCAACGGACGCATTACCCGGGGTACTGTCGCTGAGTTATTACAACGTCAAGATGAGACGGAACGTCAAGAGATTCTTGGCTGGCTCTCTCCGATAAACCATGCTGCGCAACAGAGTGACTACCTGAGCCGAAGCCAGCCTGGGACTGGACAGTGGTTTATAGACTCACACAAATTCACAGAATGGGTTGAAAAGCCAGAACAGACATTGTTTTGCCCCGGTATCCCAGGAGCGGGCAAGACTACCCTTATGTCTTTGGTTATCGATGAACTTTACAAACGCTACGGAAATGACAGCGAGATCGGCATTGTGTTTATCTACTTTAAATTCAAGGACGAGTGGACAATGGACCAGTTGCTCTCTATCCTACTGAAACAGTTGGTTCAGAGACAACCATTTATACCAAGTGATCTGAAAGACATATACGACTATCACCATAAACATGGAACACGGCCGCCTCCAGGAGAAATATCAAGGTGCTTACATACCATCGCTAGCTCGTATAAAAAGATTTTTATGGTCATCGACGCACTGGACGAATATCAATCCGCTATCCAGTCATGCGACAGCATTTTGCCTACTATTTTCAACCTCCAGACCCAGTCCCATGCAAGTCTCTTGGCTACTTCAAGACCCATCCCAGAGATCAGTGACCAGTTTAAGGGAATGCCTACGCTAGAGATAAGAGCACGAAACGAAGACGTACAGAGATATCTAAGAGACCACCTAGGACGCCTTCCTAGATTTGTTTCACGAGATGCAGGGCTTCAGGATGAGATCGTTACAGAAATCGCAGAAGCGGTAGATGGAATGTCAGTAGCTTCAGTAGAAGCCAAGAAAAGGCCATGCTAATGCACGCCCAGGTTTCTTCTAGCTCAGCTTCATCTCGACTCATTGGTTGGAAAAATGTCGCCCAAGGCTCTTCGAAACGCCCTGAAACGACTTCCCACAGGGACCGATGCTGTTAGCCTGGCTTATAAGAATGCGATGAGCCGGATTGAAGGACAGGTGGCTGATCAGGTTGAATTAGCCAAAAACGTCCTGGCATGGGTTGTATGTGCGAGAAAACGGTTGACTGTCTTGCAGCTCCAACATGCCCTTGCCGTCGAAATAGGCGAAACTTACCTCGATCAAGACAATCTACCCGAAATCGAGGATATGGTCTCTGTATGTGCAGGCCTGGTTACCGCTGATGCGCGAGGTGGTGTCGTTCGACTAGTGCACCACACCGCGGAAAGATACTTTGAGCAAACCTGGATGGATTGGTTCCCTGCTGCTCATTGCAAAATAGCCGCGACCTGCATCACGTACCTCTCCTTAGATATCTACAACACTGAATTCCAACAAACCCTTAGTATGGAGCAACTCTTTCGATTCTCTCACGCTACGCCTATTGGAGATTTCGAGGTACTTCTGAAACAATACCCGCTCTACACGTATTCAGCTCGGTACTGGGCATCACATTGCCTCATACAGCCAGGAAGCTATGAATTGGTCCTGAACCTTCTGCAAGATGAGACAACGTCCGCTGCATGCGGCCGAGCGTTGGCGATTGCAGAGGAAGAGTTCTGGTGCAGGTCCTCTGCTGCTCTGCAGATATCGGGGTCTCACCTGGCGGTATATTACGGGTTAAACGATATCTTGATGGGCTTGATTGAGAATAGCAGCCAAACAAACACTCCAGATATGAATGGTGAAACTCCATTGTCATGGGCGGTAAGAAGAGGCAACCAGTCTGTTGTCAGGCTCCTTTTAGAAAAGGGTGCAGACCCAAATACTAGGGATAATCAAGTTCGGACGCCGTTGTCACGGGCCGCAGAGCAGGGTTGTGAGACCATGGTTAAGCTTCTTCTGGACAACTGTGCTGATCCAAGCATTATGGATCGCGACGGCAGGTCGTCACTGTCGTGGGCCGCAGAGAAAGGCCATGAGGAAGCGGTCAGACTACATCTAGAGAAGGACGTCGACCTGGAGTCTAAGGATAAGGATGGCCGAACACCACTTTCCTGGGCGGCAAAGAATGGCCACACGGGAGCAGCCGGTCTCCTGTTGAAGAAAGGTGCCGATGTATTTGCAAATGATGAGAAGGGGAGAACACCTATTTTCTGGGCATTTGACAGTCGTGAGAAGTCGGTAGTCAGACTCCTCCTTTCTACTTTGAGTATTTTCGTCAGCCGTGATGGAGGCGCCGGAGACTCATTGATCTTGAGGTCTGGCGCAGATATTCCTGCCCTTGAAGGTGCTTTAGTGGATCTGGGAGTGGGCGTAGAACAATTTGTGAAGTTCACACGGATTACGGAGAGGCTGTACAGGGCTCCTGTGGGAGGACAATGGCTATATATCAAGCTGGACAGGTAGACCGAAGCTCCTATCAAGGTGCTTTCAGTACATATGGTTCTTTTAATGTGCACGGCTATTAAAAGATGGTAAGAGATTTTCCCAAAAATAATAGATTGCTGCAGTATATGGTCCCTTGAGCTATCCAATGAACTCAAAAGCACAAATAATTACTATGCTGAAATCCTACTAGTAGGGCTATACTTGCGAACCACTATAAATAAAAGTCTAAGTTTATCTCCCCCACCACGCGGGGTAACCCAAAAAAGCAATGCGCACGTGATCACCCCAAAAGAGTCACACAAGGTAGTACATACAGACGGACAGACAAACAAACAACAAACAACCAAAGCCAATTGGACAAAAGAGTCCCAAGCCACCCAAAAATGACGAACGATGATTGTTACTCGCCTACTCCGGAAAACTACGAAAGAAGCCAAGCCCTCGCCCTCTCACTCGTAGAAAGATGCCGAGATCTCATCGGCGAACTGGACGCCTTCCGCGCCCTTCTCAAGAAAACGCAACGCAATCCCCAACTAGTCGAGGTCCGATCTCTACGTTCCAATGTGGTCTCCGAACTGCAGACTCTTGAGAAAGTATCCGTGCAGATACGCGCGCGTGCGGATGCAGCAGCAGCTGACGGTGAAGAAAAAGAGGAGATTGAGCCAAGACTGATGCATGCGCTGCGGTCGTCGAATTTGCCGTTTTATGAGACTGTTTGGAATATCGCTCGCAGGAGTTGTACTGGGTTGGTTGCGTTTGGGAAGAGGTTTTATTGGGATGGGGAGGGGGTGGCCGAAGATGAGGGTGGGAAGAGGCCGAATAAGGATAAGCGGAAGAGTGTCTTTGTGGATATTGTGGCGGATGATGGAGAGGAGTGGGTGAAGGTTTCTACGATTTCGGAGACGAGGCTTTTGTTTGAGATGGCTAAGAAGGGGTGGGAGGCGGATTCGGATGCTGAATCCGGGGAGGAGAGGACTGTTCTACGGAATTTTGACGACGGTGGTTCGGATGATGAGGATGAAGATGAGATTGAGTTGGTTAAGTTGGCGAGCGATATGAGGAAGGCTGCCAATCACACCAGGGTGAGGTATAGGCATCCTCGTCTAAGACTAGTGATACCAAAGATTGAAGAAGGTGAAAGCCGTGAGATTGATGATCTATTGAAGGTATTACGGAACTATGATATCACGGTGGAATGTGGTGAGGGTGCACTGTCTTCCAGGGTTGGTGATAACGGCGACAATGTCCCAAGTGCAGCTGCTGAAGGGCATTTACACCATCTTCTCCCTACACCCTTCAAGAGCTTCACTTCCACCTTGAACGTGGATTGCACATTGTTGCTTGCCTTGGTATCGGATGTCTCGCACTTTAAAAATATAGAGCCTTCGCCAGAGTATCATAAGGCCATCATCCGACAGCTCGAGTTCGAGCGTGAACGGCCATTGCTGGTCACAGAGCTTTGGCCCGCAATGGAAGGACACGACTTAGTGTGTACCGATGAGGCCACAAGACGTATGCGTGAGATAGTGAATACCATTGGCACCGACACTGAGAAGAGACGAACGGAAATATTATTCGGCGACACACCATTCGAGAGTCGGGAGACCAAATCTGTCATTCAGGGGTTCCAGGAACTGTCTGATTATGAAATACCACCACAATTAAAGATGCCCGTTAAGACAGTCAAAGCCAAGTCTTTGATCGATTCAGCAATAGAACAAGGCAAACTCCCTCCAGTCTTCCACAAAATGGAAGAGATTTTGTCCAATATTAACCACAGTGTGTTCTTTTATGGCTGGGTGACCGGAATGACGACCATATCGAGCAACCGCACTGTGGTTAAACAGATCGAGACAATCATTGAACAGCATAGAAATGGTGACGAAGACTTGGAGGGGCCGCAGGTTTGGGTATGCGATACAGCCAGGAGCCTGATTGGAAAAGAGAAAGGCCGGAAAAGCTAGAGAATCGTTTGTTGGACCGCTATAAAATATAGAAGAATGGCTTTATAGAGACGGTATCAGTCGTGATCAGCAAATCGACACCATCCCGAGCAAGCTTGCCGTTCCATTTGCAGAGCAGACACGGAGGCTGTCGCAAAGTCAAACTCTTGATTCCAGTCACCTCCGTCCGATGTTCCGAAGTCGTTGCAGCCTAGTATTACTTCTCAGGGGCTCTAGAACCCTCTTCTGGTAACCAGAAAACGATATCTTTATCAGCAGTAGCCACCATGTTGTACCGCGGGTTGTACTCGATCAAAGCAGTCCGGCCACGGTGAGGCAACTTGCACACTGGCTGCAGAACGTTATTGGCGTCTGGCGACTGCTGCAGGTCCCAAGCAAGAACATCTGGGTGGTCACCCGAGCCTCCAAGAACAAATCGTCCATCCGGGGTAAAGCAAGCGTCTCCCTGACCAAGAGGCTTGCCCGTTGTTGAAACCGGGGCAGCTCTACCAGGCGAGCCATTCTTGCCAACCAAGAACGCCTTCATAATCCCTTCAAAGGCGTCGAGGACAAAATGTCCATGGTAATCTGTTCCGACCAGCAAGTGCTTCCCGTCATTTGAGAATTCGAGGCGGGTCCACGCTCTTCCTCTTGTAGAAGGTGTATATCTTTCTTCGTAAGGCGCAAGATCAAAGGTAGAAAAAGGAGACTTGTCGTAATTCCGGAAGTCGTAGAGTAGAACCGATGAAGTTGACTGGGACGCAATGGCGATAACAGAAGCAGAAGGGTCAAATGCAGCAAGGTACGGGGTGGCGAGCTTTAATTTGCCCTGCGCATTTCTCGAACTGAGATCCCATATCGCGACAGTATTATCTTTGGAACATGAGACAAACGAATCACTGCCTGGCGAGACGGCGAGACATGTCACTTTGTCTGTATGGCCGTAAAAATAACGCACGTATCCTTCATTGTGTAGATCAAGCAATCGCAACGAGTCTGGCCGGCATCAGCAAAAGACCATCAGATGTCTTGAGACCCACGGTCAGATAAGCATACCATCGACCTTTGTACTTGCGTGGAGGACCTGACGGGAATGATGCGTGAATCTTGCTAGATGAGCTCCATACTTTTTACTAGGAACAGACTTCGTAGTCTTTCCTTCCTTTATGTCAAAGATTTGGATGGTCTCATCGTCCCCTGAGGAGACCAGATAATCGCCTTGGTCGTCGAAATCCAACGAGGTCACGTAGGAGGACGAGTCTTGCTTCAATGGTTTGAATGCCTGTGGTTGAGGAGTCAATGACACCAATCGCATCAACGGTAAATATGCTATATACAAACCTTAGTGGGGCGAAAGCTACGAACAATGTCCGACACTTTCTGGCATGGAAGAGGGGTCTGCTGCTGCGATTGTGATTGCGGCGGCGGCGGGGGAGGCGGCGGTTGCTGCTGTTGCTGAACTTCCGCCATGGTTATGACAGTGTGGCGTGATAGAGAACCGGATTAATTGTAAATTAGGCCAAGCTGACCTTTACAGTCAAACCACTGACACAATCTGTCACTGTTGTTGAGATCTTCTGCGGGTTATTCCTGAGCTGCGGAGCTTGAGCTTCTGTATCGCGATTGCCCCAGGAAATTTGGCGCGTTTGTCTTAACTCCGAGGGCAACAACGTTGTTCCAGACCGGCGGTTAGTATCGGGGCGCCTACTGGTCCGTCTGGTCGGTTTAGCCCCGATGGTCGGAGTCCCGTTGGTAGGGACTGCCCCATTGAGCCAATCAGCACTCCAGGAATCCCAATCGGTAAAGCTTAGACTGGATTTTATGGAATTCTTACGGGAAGATCAATGCTCCCTGTCTTATCTGACTTTCGCTGTTTCTTCAGCCTTCAAAAACTATCTGCTGATCTTTCACTTGTATCCTCCCGCAAGTCTTTGTGATCCTTTGTGTGGTTGTCCGTCCTTGATCCCAAACTAGACTCAACATCAAGTCCCCGCCCAACCCGCGGATACCCTTAGCATCCCTCCGCTCACGGAGGCTATCCGTCAGAGAACATGTCGACAACAACAGGGTGCGTGGTACTCGTATAACACCGCAAGCCAGGATCTGCCTCTGCTAACGCTCCGCTTTCCAGAGCGTTCATCGCAGGAGGAATCGCAGCATGTGGAGCTGTTACAGTGACCCATAGTTTTGAAACAGTCAAGATTCGGTATGCGCCTTGCTTTCCAACCCTGACGTGCGAGATCATATCGGAACACACACTGATCTCATTCGGCCGGTAGACTACAATTGCAGGGAGAACTACAAGCAAAGTCCGAAGCGGTCAAGAAATACAAGGGTGTTTTCCACGGCGTCAAGGTCATTTTACAGAATGAGGGCCCCCGTGGGCTGTTCCGAGGCATCGGTTCCGCTGTATGTGTTCTGCCTAAATTTGCGAAAACAAGAGAAATGGCTAGCTGACCGTTGACTTAGTACATCTATCAAGTGTTGCTCAATGGCTGCCGTCTAGGATTCTACGAACCCCTGCGCAAGACTCTCACAACAACAATCTATGAAGACCCCCAAGTCCAGTCGTTGGGTATCAATGTCTTTGCTGGTGCTGCCTCAGGTATCATCGGTGCTGCTGCAGGTTCTCCATTTTTCCTTGTCAAGACACGTTTGCAGTCTTTCTCTCCGTTCCTTCCAGTCGGTACGCAACACAACTACCGCAACTCGTTTGATGGACTACGAAAGATCTACACTTCCGAGGGAGTAGGCGGGCTATACCGTGGTGTCAATGCAGCCATGGTCCGGACAGGTTTCGGTAGCTCTGTCCAGCTGCCTACCTACTTCTTTGCTAAGCGCCGCCTGGTCAAGCATCTGGGAATGGAAGATGGCCCCGCTCTTCATCTTGCCAGTAGTACGGCTTCTGGGTTTGTCGTATGTTGTGTCATGCATCCTCCTGGTACGTAATGATCTCTTAACAGCGATGATTTCCTGCTAACCTGTCTGTCCAGACACTATCATGTCGAGAATGTATAACCAGACTGGTAATCTCTACAAGGGCGCATTGGACTGTCTATACCAGACCGTTCGTAAAGAGGGGTTGCTTGCTATTTATAAGGGTTATTTCGCTCATTTGGCCCGTATTCTGCCTCACACTGTAAGTAACAATCAACACTGGGCTAGATGGCGAGGTTCGGTCCGCTAACCCGATATAGATCTTAACCCTCAGCTTGGCTGAGCAGACCAACAAGCTCATGCGCAGAGTTGAGGACCGATTCCTTTCTGACTCAATGAAGGAAGCACTGTGATGGGTCTATAGATTCTTACGACATATTAGGAAGGGCACATAATAAGAAGGTTGTGGCTGTTTAGTCTTTTTCCAGAAACTTGGGTGATTAGACCTCATTGAGCGAGTGTCGACTCACTAGGGTATGTATATAGAAAGCGTTGACTCATGTTCCACAAGTCATATTACCTTTTAGATTCTGTATATATGAGCCAAAAACGTTCAGATGGGTATCAGAAATGCTCCACGTTAAACTATGTACCATTAACATGTTTTGATTATAATCTCTGCATTAGAAGGGTGGTGTCAAGAGGTCTAGAACACCTAGTCAGAAGGTACTTCGTATGCTGATAGGAATGTAGCTCGATGGCACGCGATGTCAATTAACGCGTGTGGGTCTGATGATGAGCTTACGGTCCTAACTGTCATGTTGGTTATGCTAACCAATGACTTTGAAAAAGGGAAAGATAAACTGTTGGGCATAATATTTTGCACCAAGTCTATACTGGAAGCCAAATTATAGAACATACGACCTGCATACAAGCTCTATGCTGTATAGTATAGATGTTAGAGAAGACATGGAGCACAGTCGCGTTACCGCGTCTTAATGTTTCAACACAGTCAATAACGTCATTGAAGATTACTAACGTACACCCAAGCATGACAAAGTAAGTAGTTCCACTCTAAAAAAACTTTTGACCCGGAAATAATTGTTGTAAGGAACCCCATATCAGGACTGTAAACCCGTAAATCCGCGCCGGATGCCTGACTAGGCTGAAGCTGTGGGCTGGGAGTGCCAATGCAGATGCTGACCGAAACTGTCCACTCGCGTCGCGCGCCAACTCTTCCAAGCCTTAGGCATTCTGTACCTGCAGATCTCCATTCGTTCGAGCAACCCCAATGGTCAACTAAGCGGCTTTCAGTAAGAGACCTGAGCTACGGACCTTGCTCAATGTAGTATAGCGTGAGATGGCTGGTGGATAATTGAAAGTTGTGACGCTCACGAGCTGACGCGAGACAACAGTTCGAGAGAGTGTATAGTACAAAGTACTATATGGCATTGAGAATGAGTGTAACATATGACGTTCTTTTAAACCCCTTTTTAACGGTAAACTGATGCAATATTGTATGGGGCTCCTAGTGATCACTACGTAGTGCTACTACTAGTGGTAATATTAGATCGACTTGGTGATTTGATCGCATCAGATAAGATAAAAAACCCTAGTCGGGTGACGACTGAACAGCAACATGAACATATTCGGCGTTCTAGATGGTAACCATTTTCAAATATGTGGAGATGTAACCCTGAAAGGTTTAAACAGTGGAGATCGAAATCACCGGAGTGAGGAAAAAGCCAGTGGTCTGACCCAAATGGATGGGTACGCAAGGCACGAAAGACGCAATGAAGCGTGTAGACGCGTCGTCCATAACACCGGATACCCACCAGCCATCGGCTCAGAGGCGCGCCAAGTCACGTGCGACGTGACTTAGCCCGTCGCGCTAGGGATCACGCCCTCGTCCGAAGCAAGTATTTCTGCAGGCGTGCCCTCCTCTTCTGCAGCTCTTTTTTTCCTCATCCCAAATCCTCAGCCAAAATTACTGGAGTGTTTCTGAGTCTGTGTCTTTAATCTTTCTCATATATTCAATTGAAGACGTCTAGACACTACTACATAATGTCCGCGCAGGTCACTCCCTCCAAACAGGTACGTGATGTCACGTCTCGCCTCCTAGGGCTGACGCGTCTGTAGGACAGTATGAGCTAACCATGACCGTCTGGCAGGCTGCATCCTCTTTCGAGAACCTCAAGATGAGCGACTCACCTGTCAAGAAGCTCAATTTCGAAGCTGTAGGCAAGGAGAACACTCCTTCGTCTCTCCAGGTCACCGACGTGCCCACCACCAAGGCCGCTGTTGAAAAGTCTACCGATGTCTCCTCCAAGATTGCTAGCATCAAGGAAATGGAAGCGAACGAGCCCCTGCTCCAAGAGAACCCTCATCGCTTTGTTCTGTTCCCCATCAAGTATCATGAGGTGAGTAGCGGCACGTCTACCACGCGTCACGCGTAAAGTGGATTTCATCATCCGTACTGACCGCCCCCGATCAACACCGTATACTAACCTTTTTCTCTAATAACAGATCTGGCAAATGTATAAGAAAGCCGAGGCCTCTTTCTGGACCGCCGAGGAAATTGATCTTTCTAAGGATCTTCACGACTGGCACAACCGCCTGAATGATGACGAGCGCTACTTCATCTCTCGCGTCCTTGCCTTCTTTGCTGCCTCTGATGGTATTGTCAACGAAAACCTGCTCGAGCGTTTCAGCGGAGAGGTGCAAATCCCTGAAGCTCGTTGCTTCTACGGTTTCCAGATTATGATCGAGAACATCCACTCGGAGACCTACTCTCTTCTGATTGATACCTACATCAAGGAGCCCAAGCAGCGCACCTACCTCTTTGACGCCATCGATACCAGTATGTTGATCCCGGTTAACACAGTTACTGTACTGTTACTGACACCAAGCAGTTCCTTGCATTCGCAAGAAGGCCGATTGGGCTATCCGGTGGATCCAGGATCAGGAGTCGACCTTCGGTCAGCGTCTCGTAGCCTTCGCTGCTGTTGAGGGTATCTTCTTCTCTGGATCCTTCGCCTCCATCTTCTGGCTCAAGAAGCGTGGCTTGATGCCCGGTCTTACATTCTCCAACGAGCTTATCTCTCGTGATGAGGGTCTCCACACTGACTTTGCTTGCCTGCTCTTCTCGCACCTGAATAACCGCCCCGACCCCCAGGTTGTGGAGGACGTTATCGTGGAAGCTGTCTCCATTGAGAAGGAGTTCCTGACTGACGCCCTTCCTTGCGCTCTTCTTGGCATGAACTCCAATTTGATGTGTCAGTACATTGAGTTCGTCGCCGACCGTCTCCTGGTCGCCCTTGGCAACAAGAAGTACTTCAACGCCACCAACCCCTTTGACTTCATGGACAACATCTCTCTGGCTGGTAAGACCAACTTCTTCGAGAAGCGTGTTGGTGACTACCAGAAGGCTGGTGTGATGGCTAGCACCAAGAAGGAAGCCAAGCAGGATGAGAGCTCCGGCAGCGCTGGCGGCCTCAGCTTCGACGAGGACTTTTAAACCAACTTCACGAATATACCCGGCAGTGTGCTCGCTGGCACCTGCCATCAGATACGAGCTAATTCTCCTTTTTGGTCGGTTTTTATTCCTGGGCTCCGCGTTATTGATTTATGAAGCTGTTTGAGGTATAAGCATGGGTTTGGCGTTGGATTGGCGGGACTTGGTTTTCTCAAATGTACTGTCAGTGTCTTAGCCGGCATTCGACCCTTAATATGGGATGGATGGGCGGTAGACTGTATTTAAATAAATAGGATATCACTGTACATTCAATTGGATATTCCACGATATAATCGAAAAGTCACTGTTTCTTGAAATTGCTTTTGGTCTGAATGTGATATTCGCTCCGCATAGAAGGCACGTAAAAAGTTGTAAAATCTCTATGTACAACACTTACATCATTAGAGTATGAAGTCCCTTGAGTACTAGTGCGCGTCTGTCGGGGGCTAAAGGGATCTGCCTCCCACTCCCATCCCTCTGCATAGACCAACCATGCGCTATGAGATACTGCCAGAAGCCCAGAGTACGTTAAGTATGACTGCGCCAGCCCGACGCACTGCAAGTCAAGAAGGGCTGATATACCAGGCCCTATGATACCAATAGAAAAAACCTCGGCGGCAGCCAGCAAAAAGAAAAATCCATAAGCAGCCAGACATCCGATGTCCCTCAAACCACCCAAAAAACAAGAAGAAGAAAATAATTAAAAAAAAAAAAAGGCGAAATATCACCTCTTTCCCTTTCCACCCTTCTTCTTCCCCTTCCCGCCCTTATTCCCCTCCGTCTTCGCCGCAGGAGCAGAGCCCGTCCCCTCCTCCGGCGCATCAGTCATCTCCACATCACCACCAGCCTGCGCTACTGGCGCAGCAGCCGCATTTCCCAATCCCAACGCAGCCACATTCGCACCACCCGCTAGCTTTCCTAGAGATGTAATCAACCGCCCTACCTCGGCGGCTTTGTTCGTGCGATATTTGAGGCAGATTCCAGAGGTTGGGTTGTAGGTTTTTAGTGTGAGAGATGCAATTGGGGCCGTCGGTGTTGTTGATTCTTCGGTTGGTTTGGCCTTTTGGGAGGAGGGGAAGTTGTATTTTGTTGTTATGCGGGTCTGTGGTGTCGATTCATTGTGTTAGTTAGGTGGTATGCTTGGTTTGGGGGTGGTTTTGGATTGAGGAAGGTTCTTGACTCCTGGGATTGTGGGATTGGGTATTGGGATGTGTGAGTGAGACGTACGTCGTTTGGGTATGCATCGAGGAGGAGCGCTGATTGTTCCAGGTAGGCCTGGGAAGTGGGAAGGTATGGCATGTTGGTTCGGGGTCGTGGTTGGTTTTCTGAATGGCTCCGAGGGTTTATCGATTGAGGGTGTTTTGAGTAATAGAAGAAGGTTTTAGAGGTTTTCTGTGTTCGTTGGGTGGTGAGGTATTATTATAGTGAGTGGAGGTGTGATAAATGGTGGAGTGCGGACAGTTTGCTTGCAATTGTCAGTAGTCGAGTCTTGGCGGAAAGCAGCGGATTTATTATCTACTTCGTTGATCGATTACGATTTTCCTCCTACTTTAATCCTCTATACTTTGAAAAGCTTGTCTCTTGTACATGTAACTATTTGTCGCGTATCCTAAATACATCCTATATATCTGCTACATACATACCTGACCTCCATCGCGTTCCTGTAAATGCAATATTATGAACACCCGCCAATGCAATATTTGCCAAAATGGGATAAACTGGAAAAGAAAAATGAAAGGAAACACATCAAATCATAAACAACACAAGAAAATCAGTCTATAGCCTGGGAGCATCGTACGCAGATCAACTTCTGCTTCCCATTTCGTCCTTTTGTGGCTCGGAAATTCGTTCCCTCACAGTTGTCACACCGGAGCACATCTTCACTCTCATCTCCCTCCCCGTTTGACGATGCGTAATCACTACTCAGGACACTACCGACGCTCGGCTGACGTCGCCCGGGAACAGAAAGTCGATTGGGATCGAGAAGACGAGGTGAATCTCGATTCCGCGCAGCTAATGCGTCTCGTGCGATCCTTTTGTAGAAAGCATAGCTGTGGTCACCTTGTAGCCACAGAGGGTTGTCCTGATCTGGTCGCTTATTGGCAACTAATGCTGGAGCTGCCTGGAGTGTCTTAGGAGCATTAGCGGCACCATTGCGTCCTGGTACTTCTGCACTAGATCCTGCACTATCCAACGAAGTCTTGTACTCCGTCGAGGTCTTGTAGGCGGAAGGCGGAGGGGAAATAGTATACCCAGAACGAGATCCACCTCGTCTGGGACTCGAGTACTGCGACCGATCGGCGAGCCTCTGGGGAGATGGGCTCCGAGTCCGTGTCCCTGGGTGATGGCCATCCTTTCGCTCCGTATGGCCGATCACAGAGTTGCGCCAGGAAATGATGCGCTCAGAGGGTGTCTTATGAGATGACTCTTTTCCAATAGACGAGGCAATGCTGTGCCGCGCGGAGTTTGTGCGCCGTAGCAGTCTGCGAGAAATCGTTGAATGCGTATCCCAGCTTTCAAAGCGCCGTTTGTAGTACGCGCAATCTTGTCGCAGGACCTTGATCTTTCCGGAGTAGTCGGCTACTATGATAATGTTCCCTCCCGGATGGGTGGAGCGAGCAAGATACCCCGGCGATTCCTGAGCCTGTTTGCTAGCTACCGAGTTGCGATGAGGTCCGTTCTCTTTGGAGCTACCTAGGGTTACGGGCGGCGGGTTGCAGAAATCGTAAATCGGATCTTCGGAAAATCCTAGTATCTGCTTCGTTTTCGAGGAAGCCATAATAGCCGCCGTCACCATGGCTGACTGTGGTTCCACAACTTCCACAGCACGTTTGTCTGAGTCCTTCTCAACAGGAGCTGTCGGCCACAGATAAGCCCGGCGATCCTCACTTCCACAGATGACGTGTTTTCCATCATCGCTGAACGAAGCGCGGATCTGGCTGCATGTATTTTCATTGCCGCGGAATTTTGCCTCCAGGGTCCGGTCTCTAAAGTTGTACATTCGAATCCGAGAATCGTTACTGGTGATCAATAGCTTGACCTCGCCCTGAGGGTCACCCTTAGGGAAAACAGCAGTATCAATCCCTGTAATTTTGCTGCCTTTGGCATTGCGTCCACGTGCTGAGCGGACATGGAACTGCGTGATTGGTTTAAGGCCGTCGGTTTCATAGATATTGCACATTCCGTTTAGGCAACCAGCAATCGAATGCCGGCCATCCGGAGTAAAAGCGACCGACGTGATCATATCGGGAACTGTCGCAACAAATGCCACACTCTTATCCGGGATACTCCAAAGCCGGAGTTTCGTGTCAAGTGAACCTGCAAGGAAAAACCGGTCGTCCCGGGGATGGAATTGAATCGAGGTAACGAAGTCGCTATGTTTGAATATACACAGACACTCAGGACGGCTCACATGCCACAGTCGCACCGTCTTGTCCATGGAAGAAGAAAGGAGAAAATTGTTCTGCGGTGATGTTAGATTTACAACGGATGACTCGGTCTGGTATTGCTAATGACATACCTTGCTCCAACTCAGATCAAGCACGCTGCCTGTGTGGCCCTCGTACACTTGGACTGGCTTCGCCTTGAACACCGGCGCTTTCAACTGAGGAGGTTCATCACTATCCTGACTCCCATCTTCCTCTACCTCGGATTCCTGGCGGTCCTCCGGTGAGGTAATAACAGCCCAGACCCGGACTTTACCATCTTGACCGGCAGCGGCCAGATATTTGCCGTCATTGGAGAACACCAGAGCCCATACTGCTTTCCCGGTGTTTTTACTGCTCCTTGCCCCCGCTACTGAAGACCCGTCTTTTTCAGACGAGTTTGACACATCATCTGCACCTTCGAGCTCCTGCGCTACGAAGACTCGACTGAATGTTTTCTCTTTCTTGTAATGTGCTCTGACCCGGATGTACTTTGGAGGACGGGGGAATCGAGGAAAGAACCCTATCGGTTGCGCAGTGTCCATACGAGCAGTATCCGGTTCAGAGACATCGTCGTCGTCGTCGAGAATTTGGTCTTTCTTTTTACCGCCAATGATTCGGCTGAGAAACGACACGCCTTTTCTACTTGATCAAAGTGAGTTCGATTAGCCTTCGAAATACAATGCAGAAAAATAAACGTGCGTTATCTTGCAGAGCGGGGTATATCAAGAAAAGTGAAAGCGCAGCTAGAGAAACATAACGGATCCCTGCTGAACATAGGCATAGTACTCACTTCTTCTCCTTGGACGGCTTGCGGTGTAGCGCGGCATCTCCTCGTATTGGGCCTTGCTCAGGGAGCCCGTCAGTTCCGCCAGCTTCCGCCTCGTATGACGCCCTTCCGAGTAGCTTTAAAGGGATCGACTTCTCCGTATTGGTGCGTTTAATAATATGCTGCATGATGCAAGTTTGATCAGCAACCGGTGCACCCACAGCACACATGAGTGATGTAGTGACTTTATTATTCGTACCTGCGACAACGGATCTATTGCGCTAGAGTCGGCGCTGACTTCGACGAGGGTTGGAGACGAGAGCGAACTCCTAGTAACCCCGATAGAGGTGTTACTTTGGCCCTGACCTGACCGAGAATTCTTTCTAGCATCGAGCGGGTTGCCACTGAGGGACGATGCTACATCCGACGGAGCCGATCCTATATAGAGAGCGCATAAGCATGGGTGACAGATGGCGAGCACAATGCGCCTTTGTCGTTTGTTTGACGTCGCCGCAGGTCATTGACATGTGAAAGGAATCAAGGGGTGAAAGTTTGCATGGTATCATAATTTCGAACTCATCAGGTATAACATTATCGAGACAATTGGACATACCGATAGGGAACGACTGAGAAGTCCGCAGCAGCCCCGGATTCCCCTCATTAGGACTGCCGCTGTCCTTATTGATTGTTAGGTTGCTATCATTCCTCTTAAGACTCGAAGAAGAGCCGGTTGCAAGGTTGGTGACGATCGCGGGGATAGGCAAGGCGCGCGATGCCGAAGCGCCTCGGCTGTCAGTCTCCTTGGGCGCTCGCAAAGCCTCCGTCATGGTTAGGGCGGCGCCCCAGAGTGCGCATGTGGAATCGGAAACGTTTGGCGGGAATACTACCGGATGGTGGGAAAAGGGAAAGAAAAGAAATTACTTGGAGTTTGCGAGAGATTATGGAGACCGAGAGGAAACACGGTAATACCCGGATGAATCGGAGATTAGAATGACATCAAGGGTCCGGGCATTGACCCTGAGTTAATTTTCCCTAGTATTTTAACTTGGTTTCGCATGACATTTTTTAGTCGCAAACTGTTTTAGTACGGGGGCGAGAAAAGTCGCATTCTGGAACGACCCATTGAAAAGCGACGGCGCGGAACGGTTGGTTAGATATAACAGCCTGAATGGAACGCAAGAGAATTTCGCAGTTCTCTGGTTTCTACTCAAACTACTACGTAGTAGCAAGGAATCGAGGCAATGATAACAATATATCGGCAAGGTTTCTGCGCAAGTCTGCTCCTGTCATGCAAGTCAAGCATTTTAAGGTCAGGGCGTGGGGTTCGGGTTTTGGTAGCTAAAAATACTTGGATTGGATTGTGTCATAGGTGGTTCCACGCCTCATGAAGTAATGACTATTGCCAAGTAATTAATTATCGGAATACTGGTCAAGATCTCTGATTCAGTGACTGATACTGTCATCTCCGCATTGGTTTGATTGATAATAATATATAGTAGTTATATCTTTCTAGAAGACATGACAGAGACCGGAGCAGAGTGGTCTCCACATCGGTTGCCATAGCCACAACGCTTGACCACCACTCACGCGATCTGGCGATCGTGTCTGGATGTCCGCGTTGAACAATAAGCCCCTTGTACTGGGAATTTCCTTGACCATGGGCTATCTTAATCTGACAACGCTTAATTGCGGCGATATACCCAGATTATTCCACCTATAGTATGTTCTTCATGTATCTATATCCGCGACGCCTGTTCCAATTTCCGTGCCCGATCTTTAGCTATATCACACATTGCCTGAGTCCGTAGATTAGTACTCTCAATCCGTCACGGGAGCACGATACAACTTTACCTGGATGGTTTCTTCTATCTCCTTCTCGGCATCACCTCTGTCAATCCTTTGTCGCATCTCCACCATGATAACGTCTCGGCTCCGTCCATTGACAAAAGTTCTAGAACCAGAAAAAAAAAAAAGAGCGTTAAATTAGTCCTGATCGGCGACGGGATATGACTTGGTCACGAACACAAATCTTAATCCTGGGAATTTCTCCTCGTATTCAGCGTTCAGCAGTCGCAATCGTTCCGCTAACTCCTCTGCTCCTGTGTTCAACTGCGCTTGTTCCTTCTTGCTCAATTCACTTATATGCTCAGATTGCGCCACCTTCGGTCGTCCCAAACGGGGATGCGACCCCAAGATTCCAACGAGAACGGCTTTATCAGTCGGCGAATTCGCTGCGGATAGAGCGGACATGCGGCCTCCGACGGCATCAATCAAACTAGCATATGAGGAGAACGTCTGATTGGCCAGAATAGGGGCCATCAGCGCATGAAGTTCCGGGGATGGCTCAAAGAGCGTATCGAGAACCTGGAATTGTTGTTCCTGTGAGAGCGAAGTGAGTGATGACGGCGAGGGGAGACTGGGAGACATGGCGATCTATGTGCGGTGGTTTTCCGACGTAGTAACTTCCGTGCAGATATGATACTGAGTGTACAGTTAAGGTAGCTTTTTCTTTTGAAAATTGGTTGGGTTTCGATATATAGTCAAGTCGATGGTCCCCGCATCGGCAGTCTCCGAGCAAGGCGGAGAACTCCAGAGCGGAAAGCACTCAGTAGGGCGAGTATGTGGGGAATTGGAAAATTGAATAAAATATCCCACTGATTTCATGAAATATTCTGAGTTTCAAAATTTGAACACCGTTATTGTTTGTGTGACTAATTAAAAGCTTATGGGGAAACCCCACAAACTAGTGGGAAAAAAAAAAGTAAAGAATCTATTCCGTAGGGTGGCATTTTCGGTCTTCTAGAAGCACTCGATGGGATACTATTTTGGTGGTTAAAGTTTGTATTTCTGGACAAACTGATTAGCCTGATCGGATTGATTAGATCTTCCAGTACCTGTACCAACTGAACAAGCTAGGCATCACAAAATTCAGGGGTCCTAGGCTCAAGATAGGGCAATACGAGACCTTCTACTAGTAGTATTCTGGGCTGGAAAATAATTCATGATTTACACGAACATTCAGACCCGAATGACCATCACTTGTACATTCAACATTACGATTGGTTGAAGGCCAAAAACCTCACTAATAGGTGATATGTTCCAAGATGTCGGATACCATCTTGAAGTTATTGAATTAATATTTTAAAAAAGATAAATAAATAAATTGCGCAACGGAAGATATCGATTACATCTGCAGTTTGCAAGTGCCAGGTACATACTCGTACAGGACCTGAATAAAAGGAGATAGCCATTGATTGGATATGACCCCCCTTACTGACTTTCTTTGACGTGCCCCGATTGGGAGTCAAATAATTGACTTCCTACTAGGGCGTTGGTTCCTATTCGGGGGAAGGACAACTTGCCTAAAAATATCGGATATTGGCAATTTACGTGAGAGCTAGTACTTGGTAGTACGCTGTACGGAGTACCTAGGTAGATAATAGATATAGGGTAATTTACCCGTGTACTGCGTATGTTCGTTGTATGTACTTACAAAATTGGTTCCATAGGGACAAGGTGCCGTTCCGAGTCCCCCGTTAGTGGCTGCGATCATCCCTCATTCATCTCCGATCCAATTCAATGCCGATTGTGGTATGTTAGATTCGGGTGCTCTCAACGGAGTCTCATTACCATTAATGACACCAGATTGCAATACTTTGGAGTAGTATATCAATTATGGTTCATGTTCCATAGAAGTGGCCGAGCTTGTACTGTGTACCTGAACCAAACGAGGAGATTCATTCGACATTCGTTGGTTACCATCGGGGGGCCAAGAAAACGTGGAGACAAGAAGTGGAGGTTATCGGACCATCCACTAAGAAAGAGCCCCTGAACTCCTGAGAGGTTCGTGAAATACACACCACCGTCTCGACTCGCCTCCATTCAATGATCCTGATATCTAATTACCCGTGCTAGTTATCCAGCCTGGGGGTGATCTCGGCTCGCAGGAGGCTGTTCCTTCTGCTACTTCTCCAGATCATACCTACCTTACTGGCTAGAACGCTCTCTTCTTCCTCCTCTTCTTGTGTTTTCCAATCTTCAGTCGTCCCTCGTTGCATTCGTCCCCTCCCCCTCTTTCCTTTCGGACACCAGCAGACTCGCTACACTTCTTGCTTCACATTGCGACACTCTTTCTATTTCTATTTTTATCTTTCTTTTCTTTCTTTACCAATAAAGTCTCGCCTCCCATGCAGTTCTCGTCATGTCTCTCAATGGGCTAGATAATCCCGCTGTCATAGAAGCCTATCAAACCGCTTTAACCGAAGCGGGAGGATGGTAAGTCGAAGTTGTTTCCACGACTCCCGGCGCAGTTGATGTTTCACGGATACTTGCATCAAAACATCACAGGGCGGTTTAAGCAACCGCTGATCATCCCTTTCCGCATCTAGGTTTCTTCTCCAGTATGTATCAAGGGATGAAGTGGCTCTACTCGATCGGGGGACCGGCGGGGTGCCCGACGTACGGAATGCGATCGACGGTTATGAAGAAAAGTCTCCGCTTTATGGTTTTCTACAATATCGTCGCAGGAAGGTAGTGCTCAGCTATCTACCGGAGGGTATCTCTCGGCTCGTACAAGGTATATCCTTATTACCCGTCATCCCAATCTCCACTCTTACTGATGAGATCTTGCGCCCACCCTCAGCCCGTACAACCGTGCAGTTTCAGTCGATTCTAGACAAATTCTCTCCACATGATACTGTATTCTCTCTTTCACAGCCATCGGAGCTCACTGAGAGCGCACTATCCTCCGCATGTCTACTACATACCGCTTCAGGTTCTATCACCTCCTCCTCGAATTCCCTCCGCCGTCGCAGGCTGATGGAAATCGCGGAAGATGCAGAGGAAACCCCCGGCAGCAAAGACGCTTCGCCACTGCCAGTCGCGACCAAAGACTTTCGGCAAAGATCGTTCAGCCAACTATCAGAAGCAACCATCGTCGCCTCGCCGGTCGCGTCCGACGCACATTCTATTCGCCATGGCACCGAGACATCATCCCCGACGAAACCACTGGATGATACCCAAGCCAACGACCGTCCTCCGTCGATTGCCGGCGACCACCACTCCGAGCGTCCGGCTTCGCGTAAGACCTCGCGGGACGAGCTGTCATACTCCGAGCCTCGAAGGTCTTCTCAATCAGCTAGGCCATCTTTAAAAGATCTAGAACGCACAGGTGTGTACAAACCAAAGGTTAAGCTCGGTCCTCGGCCTTCGGTAGATGAAAGTGGGCGGCCACGCACCGCAGGGAATCTGTCACGAAGCGCAGAACAGCGACCGGTCGCTTCCTTGCCAGCTGGCATGCGGTCGTCTTCCCTGCGAAGAAGCAATCCTAATCCCGCTCGTCCCCGATCCCAGGGAAGCACTGTAGCATCTATGTCTGGCCGAACGGTCCCTCCGGTGCCTCCTTTACTCGTACCTCCCCTGTCGATGCCTATTTCTAGACCCCAGCTGTCGCCTGGTGCAAAGTCATTAAGCGCATTATCATCTTCCGGGACATCCCAGGAAAGGGAACGGCTAATGAAAGCGCTTCAGTTACGGAAAACACAGATGGAGAAAAGGGCACAAGAAGGGAAGAAAGTTCACCAAGACGCTGAAGAGAGAAAAGAATCACAATTCGATCCGATTGAGGACAAGGAGAACATTCATCATGCCCATGACAACATAAAACGTGTCCAAGCAGACGAGAATAAGGCTAGTGTTCTAGAGCATAGCAAGGGTCCCCTGTCGGAAACTCAGCCTACCGTTGTTCCAGAGCCAGTCGAGGTACACGATGGGCACATAAAGGCCGTTTCGGATACCGTAAACTCAGATTCAACCCCTGACATGTCGATCACTGATCTGCGAGACATTTCTGAAACAAGTGTGGAAAATCCGGACGATGCTAAAGAGCCTTCAAAGATGGACCACTACCAGACCGCACAGTCGGCTTCTGTGCTTGATGACGTTGTTGGAGAGGATTTGACTAAGTCAATTGACGAAGAGACTAAAAGCGGTCCCGGCTCGCCTAGCGCGGGCAAAGAAGTCCCACTTGAGGAGAGGTCCCTCAACATTCCAGACGAAGAAATTGCCGTGCGTTCTCCACCAGCCGAGAATCCTCTTGCTCCTGTTGAACAGGAGACCGACGCCATTGGAGAACCTGCCGAGTCTGCCCTGCCTCAGTCCATCCCCGTACTTTCGACCCCCGATTTCCGCACAAGTTTAACTTCCGACTCCCCGACAACCCACGAGACTCACATTACTGAGACCCAGAATGACCTGACCCCTGAAGTGTCGGTCACGGAGCAAAAGGACGTCGATACCCGGAAGGAAAAGCGTAGACCTCACCTTGAACCTATTCAAGTGCCAACACCGGATTATTCGGATGACGATAATCTTTCCGATGATTCATTCATGGAGGAATTAAAGAGCGCCACACTAGAGGAAGCCAAGCCCATTTCAGTTGGGAACTCGCCGCTATCCCCGGGCTATTCTAATAATGGAAACGACCGAAGCCCCCCTGATGCATGGAAAAATTCACGAGCGGTTTCCAACCCAAGTGCTATCGGACGCCAACCACCCAACATACATGCACTAGCTGTGGGAAGGTCTGTATCGACACCTTACAATGAAGCTGATAGTTCTGTCCTGGTGGCTAAGAAGATCAATGTGTCTTCGGGCATCTCAAAACGCATCGCAGCCTTAGAGAAATTTTCGAGCCGTGGCGATGTGCAACCAAGCCCGAATCAGAACCTAACAGCACCGTCGTCGGCTTCCTTCGAGGCTCTTAGGAAGAGAGCCTCCGTCTCATTGAATGGCAATTCAGACTCAGCGCCAGGATCTAGGCATGGATCGTTCACTCCCGAAAGTTTCTCTCGAGCTTCCAGCGTGCGACGCCCCGACTCACAATCCAGTGCAAGCGTCAAACGAACAAATTCAGTGTCTGTTACAGCCAGGATAATTCGCGATTCAAATACTACTCCAGGAGATTCCAAGGATGATCCTTCAGAGAACAGCGTGCTCAATCTCCACGCTAGTCCCCTGACAGTTGAACATGACGCCTGCGACTCTCCTTCGCCCCATCCGTCGCCAGAACCTATGGCTAGCAAGTCGAAAGAGCGCAGCATGTCTCCGTCTTCCGTCGGCTCGAGTAACCAGCCTCCTGCACAGTCAATGCCACGCTCAGAGAGTCGGATGTCTGTCTCTTCTGCCACCAAGAATGAAGGCACTTCAAGTCCTGTCGTGGATGCCCCTTTGTCTCCGGAAGGAAAGAAAGAATCTCGCGCATCTCGACTTCTTCGTCGTATGTCATCTATTACCTCAACTTCGCGGAAGAGTACGTTTAGCTCACTAGGCCCGGTGGTTAAAGAAGAAAGCACACCACTTGATACAGGAGTCGAGATCGCGCAGGCAGTCGATATCGGAGAGGTCAATGTCCAGTTCCCTGACACGCTGCTCTGGAAGCGACGATTTGTTCGCGTCGATGATAAGGGGTACTTGATTCTGACTCCTGGAAATATTGATTCAAGTAATCGCAGCATGGTCAAACGATATCATCTTAGTGAATTTAGGACGCCCGCTCTGCCGGATGAGGATCGACAGGAGCTTCCAAACAGTATCTTGCTAGATTTTCTCGACGGGAGCACTCTTC